ATGATTCTTGGCAAGTGCACCGTTACTGAAAGCGATCATAAACCGAGATCGTGTTGTGGAGGACATAGCGTAGTAAGAATTGACAAATCTTTGGCTTTTGATGAAGGAAGACCAAATCGTGGACACGCTTTGAAACTTCACAAGAGATTTTGTCAGGAATCTAGTAAGTATATCAACTTCTAGATCAAGTAGGATCGGAACTAGCTTACTGTGGTTGCTAAGAACAAAGTATTTCTCATTGTCTTCTTTATGTCTTCTTTATGATCTCTCTCTTTGCGTTTCACGGCGAATAAAAACGAAGCCCTAGATCAACCCGACCCAATTATAAAACTAACATAGTGCAAAAATTGCAAAAAATACCCTAAACTTTAATAAAATTTTTGAAAAACCCCTATATTTTAAAAAATTGCAATAAATCCCATGTAAAAATCGAAAAAATTAGTTGAACATGGTGCAAATGCACCACTTGCACCATGTTAGAACCGGCCCTGCCCTAGATTAGACTAGGAGAAGATAGAGTCGGAAATTAGAGAGAATCGAATAGCCGTTGCTACTTGCTAGCTGGATTTGACTCAACGATTGGGCTAGCTAGATTAATTAACTAAGTTGCAAAATTAAAAAGAAATGGAAAGGTCGAGAAGAGATGAGTTTTAAGGTTACCTCAAACGAACGGTTGAGATTTAACGAATCTTATTTTCTTCTATCGAAATAACATTTTTTTTGGGGTGGTCAGGATATCTTTACGTATAGCAAAGACTGAGACTGAAGGAAATTGGAGAGAATTACAAAGACATAATATTTGTCTTCTTTCACAAGATTTCTTAATTAACTTGTCGAGTACGAAAGGTTAAAAGGCATTTTTAGGTCGAAGCCCAAATATAATTTATTCATTATTTCGTTACATGATTGATCTTTATTACATTGACTTCATACCATGATATTCTTATAGAGATAGATACGTTATTTCAGTCCTTGTGGTTGTAGATATGATGATCACGGAGGCGTTGGCTTGAAGTTGAAGCACACTTCCGTGGAATGAGGATACGTGAAAATAGGGATACATAGACGGCGGTACGACGGTGGGATGATATACCGTTGGATTAACGGTGCAGGGGCAAACGGTAACGTATGATAAATTGACGGTACCGGAGGATTAGTGCTAGTAGTGGTGACTCCATGGACCTCCGGATTATTTTCATTCAGACGGCGTGAAGCGGTGGTTTCCGGCGTGAGATGGATGATCAATAAAAGGGTTAATGCTAAAGTGGAGTAAGTTGAAGAAGCCATTATTAGTTTATGTGTTGCAAGAACAGATGGTAATTGTGTGTTTATATATAGGACAAATCAAAGATTTAAATAAATAGAAAAAGAATAGAATTATTCAATGTTAGATATATTTGTATAAGCACGTACTCGTTTTATTTATCATTATTGTCTATTTGAGGTAATTTCTTCTTCTTTTTGAGGTCATTGAAATGGTTGTTTATTCGTTACATTGACACCTTTATCACGGAAATGTCATAAATGTGATAACCTCAAAAGAACCAAATTCTTATGGAATGGCCCGGCAAGAGAGTGTTATCGAAATAGTATAATTTGTTATAAAAGTTCTTCTTTGGAAAATTAATCATTATATGTATATAATTAATATTTCACATATATTGTTGTCTACGTAACATCAAATGCAACCAAAAATGGGACTCAAACACTGCATGTGGATGCATGTTGGCTGCTTGAATCTGACCATTAAAAAAGACGAATAAAATCAAATTGAGGTTTTGAAAGGCAATACCGAATTTAAACGATTTTTTCTTTACTTTCTTACAACCACCTCAGTTATTTTGTTTTAACCTAGATGAACTTCAAATGATTTCGGTTAATTTTTGTGATTTGATTGGGCTTTTAAGTCTGGGCCTAAGTTAAATTGTTTCACTTGCATTAAAACGCCCATTCTTAAGCCCAGTTCGGAGTGTTTCTTCGTCTTCTCCAACGCTTCAGTTTTCTCGTGTTTTTAGAGTTTATTAATTTGTAGATTCTCTGTTACGCCTCTCGTTGGAATATTTGTGTCGCCGGAGAGTTTCTAATCGCCGGAACGAGAAGCTGAATCATGGAATTTCCATGGCGGCGAAATTTGATTTAGCAGTGGTGGCCGAGAGAACGGGAAAAATCCTACGCTAGCCCTGAGATCGTTGAAGAAGAGCCTGGATTTCATCGTTCGATTCGCCATGGTAAAATCCTTACTTGTCGCAGTCGATTTTCTCGATTTGTGATTGGGGCTTGATCTAAGTTTGATGAACACGATTGCTCTCCGTAATTTTGTTGTTTTGGTGAAATTGGGTTTCTTTGGCTTTATGTTTTCGAAATGGAATTTGGTATTCACAGAGAAGATCACTTTTGCTTTCACTTCATAAATTGTTTGT